AGCTTCCAGAATGTTAATTCTACCAGCCATGGTTGACTGAGCCCAGCACTGGGTCTGTTACATATTATTTGATTTGGAGGAGAAAAAAAAGATTTAAAGATCCCATGCCCCCGTATACCTTTGTGCTTTTCCCGTGTCTGTCCATATATTTAAGCATACCATTCGCACTGCGAGTTCAGAGCTTTCTCCCTGGAATAAAATGGGTCTGAGCATTTCCGTAGCCTGTCTCCAAGACCACATTTCCCATGAAGCCAGACGGCATCAGATGAGAAAGGCTGCGGAAGCTTTCCCCGGAGGCCTGGAGGTTCGGACCTGTCCCCGTACAGGCGATGGTTTGCTGGTATTTCTTTTTGCAGCTGTCCCTCAGCATATAGTCAGTTTCTTTGGCCCGTACTCACTGTGCGCCCACTGTGTGCGGCGCCCAGAGACAGGTCGGCCGCGTCCCTGCCCTCTGAGGGCCATGCGCCTTCTTAGAGTGCTTCACTTGGTTGACACTTGCACCTTTACTGGTCTGATTGGTTGGTTGTCAGTTGACGTTTACCTCTTCCTCTGGACATGACTCCATGAGGACAGGGCTGGGCCAGCTTCTGCCATCACGGTGTGCCTAGTGTTAGCACAGCACCTGCTCACTAAGGTTGATTGAGGGAAGGATGAATGAATGATGGATGAATGAATGAATGAATGAGGTCGGATGGAGGGATTCTGACGTTTGCAGACCAGACCTGCAGAGTGAAGGTGGCTGTCACAGGTATTACTAATTCGTTCATTTATTCCACAAGTACTCCCTGTAGAGGAGACAGAGATGAATTAACTGCGGTTCTCCCCCCAAGGTGCCTAACAGTGCAGTGTGAGAGCGAAGGGTCCAGGAGGTTTCTCTCTTAAGATAAGAGAGAAAGTGGTCAGATGGAGAAGCGACTGGGACGTGAAGGAAGGCATCCTGGAGGAGGCGGCATGCGTGTTTGCAGGCTATGTCTGTCCTGGCAACAGTGCACATGTCAATGAGGAATCGTTCACCTTCCATATGGGCACAGCGGGTCACCTGTGGTGGACAGGCTAACTCCACGCGTCACCTTCAGATTCCCACAAATGCAAAATTCATGTTGCCAGCCCCAAATCCTTCCAAAAGATGAAGCTTGGGAGCAGGGTTTAGAACGCATGGCCTGATCTCAAGGAACTAGCGATTTAGGCCCTGGGACTGAGAAATGTGGAGGACGATTGTCTCCCCAGCCCCCTCCCATGGCTCTCCACTGCTCCCCCAGCAAGGCTCAGATGCTCTCCGTGGCCTCCTGTGGCCCCCGTGGCCGCCTGGCCCCACCCATGCCTGCCTTCCCAGCATCCCCTGGGGTCTCTCCCCCTCACTTCCTCTGTTCCTTTCATCTTCTCCTCTCAGGGCCTGTGTCCAGCAGGCTCCCCTGCCAGGCATACCCTCTCCACCCCCACCTTCTGTGCCCTGCTGACCCTCTCCTCTCCTCTTAGTTCAAGCCTGACTCCTCCCCCTGAGGCCACACCCAGTGCCATTATACATGGTCACATGTATGTGTTTCTAGACACTTCTTCTACTTAGCGGTCATCACAGTTTGTACTCCTATGTTTGTTCGCGTGAGTACTTAACGAAAGTGGGCTGCCCTTTCTAGAGTGGAAAGAGGGGCTGTCTTGGTCATCACTGTATCTTCTGTTTTTGTTTTTTTAATATTACCTGGTACAGAGTGAACGCTTAATCAATATTTGTTAAATGGATGAATAAATGATTGTATGTTTAGGAGTGTCCAAAGCTTTCTTCAGGAAATGACAGACGTTAGGCATCTGTAGAGATTGACAGGGCAGACTTCCCCCGTCCCCAGTAGAGAAAGCAAGTGAGGTGCTGGCTGGGGCGAGAGCAGAGGGGATCACTGGTCAGGGTCAGTGCCTGGAGAGGCGGCTCTTCCCAGCTCTCAGTCCTGCACTCAGAGTGTCTGGGTCACCACGACGGCCTGGACACTCACAGGCTCAGCCCGTGGGGGCTGTGGCTGGCTTGCAGAAAGCTGGAGTGGGACACAGCAAGTTTTCTTCCTAGAAGACTCATAGGTCCCCACGAGGCTGCCTGTGCTCAGAGTATGTGTGGTGGCCTCGGGGGGACAGGCCTTCAAGGACTCCTGGTGCGTGCACTTGAGTCGGCCATGTGCCCTGGGCTTTTACTCTGAGGTGGGCCCTACTCGGTGACCAGACAGTGACCTTGCTCGCAGGAGCCCTTAGCAGAGCCACCCTCTCTAAGCTTCCTCAGTGGAGGCGAAGCTCTGCCCTTCCAGAGCTTTGAGCCATGGAGAGACCCCAGCCCATGAATCCCGTCGCAGAGGGATGGAGCCTGAGGACATCTGTGGGAGGGCAGCCTGGCTGGCAGGGGGAGGCCTCCTCAAGGGGCAGAGTTGGGGCTTGTCTCATGGGGCAGCCCGAGTGGGAGGGAAGAGGTGGGCACTGCTCCACTCGGGGCAAGGTGAGGCGAGGCCTTGGTGGAAGTCATCAGGAGCTGGCCGACAGGAAGGAGCCTTCATTAGGAGTTTGGGCCTGGCTGCAGGATGGGGCTGGGGAGTATAAGTGAAGTTGGTGGACAGAGAGAAGTCTCTTAAGAGTGGCTGTGGTTTCTGTGACAGGCGAGCACTGGGCACCCAGGCCCAGGTCACGCTTTGGCAGAAGTGACTGGGGCCAGGATGACTGGCCAGAGCAATAGCTGAGGAGGAACAAGCTGAACTGTCTTCCCTCGTGTGTGTGTGTGTGTGTGTGTGTGTGTGTGTGTGTGTGTGTGTGTACATAGCACCTTTGATAATAGGGTCATGTGGTGGCTGCCAACCAGTGGGAGAACACTGTAGGGCAAACACAGACTGGGCATCAAGGCTTGGTGCCTTTGTAGGAATGGTCCTCATGGGGATGGGCCATGATGGAAGAAGGGACTCTGAGGATGACGTCCCATGGACAGGAGCAGGGACCTGTCTCGTGGAAGGCCAGTGTCACAGGCTGCTGGAGGAGGGTCCCAAGGTCTAGGCTGGGGGACCTTGGTCAGAGAGACCACCTCCACGTTGGCCCGCATGTTGGGGTATCTAGCCATTCAGGCTGTAGCCTCGCCTGCGGTTCCTCTTGGGTCAAAATTGATCTGGGATCCATCTTCTCAGGGGCTCATGAGCTGCCTCTGAAGGCCCTTCCTGTAGAGGATACTGGCGTGCTCTCAGCTGTCAGCCTCCACGGGGCCTCTGAACAGCCAGCACTCGTGTGAACACCCAAGGCTGGTGTCTCTCTTCAGATGTTGGACCCTGCGTGCACTTGCCCCCAGATAGGGCAGTTGGGGAAACACCAACTTTTGGCAGCATCTCAGTGACACGATATCCCACTGCTTCAAGCTCCTTGGCTTGGCCGCGTTCCTCACGCGGGTAGGATTTTGACATGATGGATGAAGTTGAGGCAGCAGTGGGGTGTGGGGGTGGGAGAGGATTGGGCCAGGCCGTGTGTAAGGGCACCTGTCAGCAAGAGATCTGACGCATGCTGGTCCCCCTGGGGCTTCCCAACGGCAAAGACAGAGGCCTCGCCTCTGGGCCTGGGTTTCAGGGGGTCTCTGGTCAGCCCTGCATGAGCAACTCGGTCCTAGAGGGCCCTGGGGAACGATGGCCCTTGAGGCCATCTCCTCGCTGGAAACTTTTGCCTCCTTGCTTTCTCTCATTTTGAACGGTACAAGCCCAAGGCTCACAAAAGGTATTTCATCCCATTTGCTTTGTTTTGATAATTCATAATATTTTGTTTGAAATGTGAGCGTCATCACCAGAGACTGTTACAGTGTGAATAGCTAATAATACAGAACACAGAGAGAACTGAACCCTGTACTCTCTTGGTAATTAACATTTTTGAATAAGCAATACATTTAAAGTTCTGAAACAAACAAAACAGCAGAAGTGCTGTGAAGAGTCTCCCTCCCCTTTGTCTCCTCCCACTCGGCCTCCACCTCCCTGGGTGGGGAACTGCTCTAAATGCTCCTCTTATTCCCTTCCAGAGTTCCTTTGGTGATGTCTGTGTGTGTGTGTGTGTCTGTGTGTGTGTGTGTCTGTGTGTGTGTGTGTGTATGTATACAAAATGCATATAGAGTCTTATTTTCTTCCTTTTTTACACAAGAAGTTGTGTATGGTACATGCTGTGCTGTACCTTGTTTACTTATTTTTCATTTACCAATGTCTCTTGAAGATCTTTCCATACCAATTCACAGAGGAAGTCCTCTTCCCTTTTCCTTGGTGTGAGCAAACCATCCCTTATTAATCAGCCCTTGCAAATAAACTCCTGGGTTGTTTCCAGTCTTTGGTGCTAGAACTTGGTGCACATATCACTTCCCGTGTGTGTAAGTGTAGCTGTGAGATAAGTTCCCAGAGGTGCAGTGGCTCTGTCAGAGGGACTGCGCATTTGTGGTCCTGCTGTGGTTTTGTCTGATTGTCCCTGTGGGTGTGAGCAGGAGACTCCCCACAGAACTGTGAGAGCATCTGTCTCCTGCAGGCTTCCCAACACCGTGCTTTACTGACTGGTCATGGGACATGGTGGCATGTGTCCCTGTGAAGGGCATCAGCTCTGGGACAGAACTGTGCCTCCACGGGGGTCTTCAGTTGAGGCAGGCAGTGGCATCTGGTGATTAAGCCTCCGAATCAACCTGAGCTCCAATCCTCAGGCAGATCATTGATCTCTCTAGGCCTTAATTTTCTCATCTGCAGAATGGAGAGATAATGTCGTCTACATGGGGGGCACTGTGAGGACTAGCGAGATGGTGCGTGCACAAAGGGCCACACCTGTAGCTGTGGGAGGCTGGCTCTGCACTAACCAGCAGGGCCATCTTGGCCAGGGCTCCCTGGTCTGAGCCCCTGGCTGTTTCCGCTCTTGTCAGGGAAGGATGGGCTCGGGGGTCTCTGAGGCCCTCTTCCCAGTCTAGGGTCTGACGTGTCATTCCTCAGCAGCTTGTGTAACCCACACTTGCCCTTCCTCTCTTGTGCTCATCAAAGGTCTTCAGGAGTCCCCGGTGCCCAACGGTCACTCCCTGCCGGGCCGAGACTTCCTCCGGAAGCAGATGCGGGGAGACCTGTTCACGCAGCAGCAGCTGGAGGTGCTGGACCGCGTGTTCGAGAGGCAGCACTACGCGGACATCTTCACCACCGCGGAGCCCATCAAGCCCGAGCAGGTACGCCCACGACCCACTGCCACCACTCCTGCCCACACGCCGGCCCGGGTTGCCCTCCCGAGGGCGTCCAGCGTGGTGTGGGTGCGAGTGCCAGCCTCTCCTCAGAGCCGGGCTTCTTGTTGTTCTCGGCCAAACACGGCCGCTCACAGCGTCCCACGCGGTCAGGAGGACTTGTCTGGGGCTCCGGCGACCTCTTGCCCTGGTGCCTCTGTCTCTCTGGCCAGCTGGGGGGAGTGGGTGTGACTCGTCTGGCTGCTCTGCCGTTGCTAACTGCTGTCCTTTCCCAGGGCTCTTTGCACAGGGGGTGTAATGATCTTCTGGGTCACAGGAGGTGGTCTTGGGTCGTTATCCTGTCAGTCAGGATGAGGGTGGAAATGTGTAAGCACCCTATGGCCATAAACCACGTCATGATGGTCCTGGCGTGTCCCCACTGCCAGCCCTCTCCTCAGGTTGCCCTGTCAGGCTTTCAGATGCTGAATCCAAGAGTCTGGAAATGACGAAGTGACCCACTGGACAAGCTCCCAGCTGAGTCATTTGCAAGAGAGGGAGAGGGGCAGGAGGAGGACCCCTTGCTGAGCAGCCCCCTGCTCTGCCTGTGGCTGCAGAGATGGGACCAGAAAGTCTTTGCCCAGTCAGAGGCTCTTCAGGCCTGGATAAGGCCCTTGAAGTACCAGATTCAATTCAGGAGACTCTTTCCTGAGCCCCAGTCTGTGCCAGGCCCTGGGCTGGTCACCTGGCAGGCATGGGCGGCTCAGACATGGTTCCTGCCTCCGAGAGCTCCCAGCTGATGGCGAGTCAGAGAGGCCTTTGAGCAATGACTTTCCCTAGCATGTTGCTAGCTGGTTCTGGGGGCAAGGACTGGCCTTGCTGAGCTTCCTCTACATCCTAGTTAGGTGATGCTTCTAAAGTTTACCCAAAGAACCGTTCAAAACCATGTAGGCTGCATGCACAAGCTCCCATGGAGAGGAGAGGTGCCGGAGGGGACTTTGGGTGTGAGGAGTGAGCAAGGCCTTGGGGGTCACCATCCACCATCACCATCCTGTGACGGTCGCACTTTCTCTGAGCAGTTCCTGTGAGGGCTCTCACAGACCATCTAGCCACTTTGCTTTCAGATGGGGAAACTGAGGCCCAGAGAGGTAAAGAGACTTGCCTAAGGCCATGCAGCAAGTCATGTATTCACTTAACAAACATTGATGAGTGTCTGCTATGTGCAAGGCCCGGGGCCAGGCACTAGGGGTACATCAGTGAACAGCACAGGCTTGGCCCTGCCCTCAGGGAGCCTGCAGAGGTGTGGGAGAGTCACATAAATGAGAATTATCCAAGGAGTTGTGGAGTAGAGATGTGCTGGGTGCTGAGGAGGAGCTGAGGGTCTCTGAAAGCGTGAAGCAGAGGCTGAGCCAGCCTCCTGGGGAAATGCATTTATGCTGAGCCCTGAAGGGGTTGGCAGAACTGGGAGCAGGGAGCTGGGGGTGGGGAAATGTGCCTGGCAGAGGAAACAGCAAGTGCAAAGTCCTTGAGGTAAGAGCGAGCATGGCGCGCGCGAGGAATGGAAAGAGACCTGGTGTGGCTGGACTTCAGGGAGCGGGCTGGTGGGAGGCTGGGAGGTGATGCTGGAGAGATGGGCCTGGTCCTGTAGACTGTGGGCAGGATTTTGGTCTTTCTCCTGCTGGAGGAGTGAGGTCTCTTCGGGGAGTAGTCTATGTGCTGATGCTGCACGCTCTAGATCCTGGGCTTCAGGGAGAAGAGTCTGTTTCCATCACAAACAGCCTTTCCCACTGCTAAGACCCCTGCTGAGAGGGGCCCAAAGCCACATTCCATCTGACTCCAGAGGAGAAAGAAAAGTGACTCAGTCAGGAAAACCTCCCTGGATGGGGCCTACCTTTCTCTCCAGAATCTGGGAGAAAATTTGTCTTCTAACTATTGACAAGATCATGTAATTTTAGAGCTAGCAGGGACTGCGGAGGCAGCCTTTCAACCCTCTCATTTTTAAGAGGCCCAGAGAGGGGACAGGTTTGTCTGAGGTCACTCAACAAATGAGTGGCGGAGAGGGAGAGCCCGGCCTCTGCACCCAGCCTTGCGTCCGCCACACACAGCCTCTGGCATTTGTGTTAAGCCCGTAATTACTTAATACAGACGTTCGATGTTGGAAACTGTGTTTCACGTACTTCTCTCGGAAATGCAGAATCTGAATCACAGTTCATTTAGCTTAGAGTGCCCCAGGAAGACTGGGCAGAGACTGGGCATCCTCACTGGGAGAAGTCCAGAAGCCATCCGTGTATTCACTCACTTGCTCACACACTCCTGTGCTCATTTATCCAACATATTTCTTGCATGCTGGCTGTGAGCCTGGCCCAGTGCCAGGCACGCAGGGGCGGGAGGGCTGAAGCGGGCGTCAGCTCTCTCAAAGTCTCAGGGCCGTGTGATGTGGATTCAGAACCTGCAGGATACGGGAGAAGGTTCTGTGGGCCCTGATGAGTGGAGACGTTGCCTCGGCTGGGAGCATCGAGGAGGAGGTAACAGAGGAGGTGACGTTGGGGACAGATTTGATAGGGCCACGCAGAGATGGGGCCTGACGGGGAGGAGACCTGACTTACAAACTCTGGAAGGGCTCCGTGCCTAGCAGTCTCGCTGTGCAGTGTCCTTCAGAGTGATGCGGACACAGCCGCCAGCCCGTCTCAGACTGTGCAGGCTCTGCGGTGGGGCCTGCGGGTGCACCTCGTGGTGGGATAATGACTGACTCAGGGCTTTCTGGTTAATGTGCTTCACCTCACCGTAACGTGCTGTAATGAGGAGAGATGGAGGGTGAGGCTGGGGCTGCCGCACACACAGGCACTGGGCTATGAATGACAGACCCTCGCTCCCGATCCCCAGTCACTTTGGACAAATGGCTGTCCTAGTCGGGGGCTGTAGGCTGGGAAGGCATGTGCGTCAAGGGTATAGGTTCCTCGAGCCCCCTCGTGTTTGCTCTCCGCCTGGCCTCGTGAGCCCCAGAGCCCCATGACGGTGGTGCCAGGAAGGGGCCTGGAGCAGATCTGCGTCTCCATCTGTGGTCCAGTGGCCTCGGTGGGGGCCGTGCTATCCGTGTCACTGAGTGGCCTGCTGGGGAAGAAAGAGCGTTTGCTGGCCTTGGAGTTGCGGGTTTTGACTTGAGTCCCGGCTCTGCCCTGTTGGGCAGGTCGCTTTTTCCCTGGACCTCAGCTTCTGTGTCTGTGGCAGTAGTAATTGTGATTTTGACAACACTGCCACTGATAGCACAGCAGCAGCCTACCAATAAGAACAGAGGGCTTCCTCGCCTATGCATGAAACTGGACCGTTTTCGGAGATCTTTCATCCCTTCTCTCATTGGGCTCTCGGTGTAAGTGCCTGCTAAGCAGATGGGCAAGATTTGTGAGCCCCATTTTACAGATTGGAGCATTCTTTTCCAGACTGTTCACCCCATTTTCAGGCCCAGGGGGCTTCTGGGACTTGTCAAGGCTGCAGAACTGGATTTGAGGTCAGCATCTTCTGTCTCCATCTTGTGTGAGATGGTCACATGGGCCTCTGTGTCCAGGGAGGATTCTAGGAGCCCGTTTTCTGACTGGCTGTTTCTGGAACTGGCCTTCTGCAGCCAGAGTCCTCCTGTCGTTCTGGAACCGCAGAGTCTTGCTGTAGGCCTGGAGTGGTCAAGTCCTCCCACACTGCCCTGCCCACCGCCCACGGGGAGGATAGTCCTCTCCAGGGCCAGGCGTGGTCCTGCCAGTCCCCTCTGCGAACTCAGAGCCTGCCCCCACTTTGCCGATTTTCCCGCCAAGATCTGCCCTGGGGAGGTGGGCCCAGGCTTCTCGCTTTTGTACGGAAACTTAGTAAACCTTTGGCTCTGGGTGGAAGGGGTTAATGTATACACACTCCTGGGGCAATGAAACATTTCCTTTTCAAAATGGTTATTGAAAAAGCAATTCTGTTTTCCCTACATGTGGAGTGAGTAAAAATCACCTTGAAGGAGAAGAGAAAAAAAAAAGAAACAACTGCCGGTGGTGCGTGCGTGTGTGTTTCAACAGTGATTCTGTTTCAGTAAAACTCGCGCTGACGCCGTCGTGGGCGCGCTGCCGGCGGAGCGGGGCCTCCGCCACCCGGCACGGCCTGCCGTATTTACTCTCGGCAGACTATTAACCAACACCAGGCTATTAATCTGGCTTTTGAGCCTTCACTAAAGCCCATAAAAGCTCACAGTTGTCAAATGGAGTTCATTTTAATTTCCTTTCAATCACAGTAAATTATTCAGGTGATAAATCAGCTGGAGCAGCCTCCTGGCTGTAATAGAAACCCTAATTCCTGGCTAATTATCCAGCCCATTGCTGCCAACAGATCAATACGGGTGCAAAATGGAATGGGCCCAGGGCCCTCCCTCCCATTGGGCCAGAGACAGAAAGACAGCTGGGGAAGGGGGATGTGCTCCTGACCTCCCGGCAAGTTCAAAGGTCACAGGGGGTTAAACCAGGAGAAGGCCTGTCCCTTGTCTAACAGAGGGAGCCACCAGGAGGGCCTCCTGCTCTCAGAAGCTGCTCTGCCCTCTGAACAGTGCCATTTCTCCAGGCTGGTGGGCCTGGGCTGAGCATTGCCTACTCTGGGAAGGGGCCGAGGTATGTTTCGGGGCATGATTAAGCTTGGTCGTCAGGGGTGGCCTGAACACCTACCTGAGTCAGAAAAAGAGCTGGGACTGTAGGGGAAAAGATGAGATGCCAGATGTGCTTCCTTTCTTCAGGGAACTCATTCTCCTCTGTAGTGGGTCTGTGCCCACCAGGAGGAGGGGAGTCAGGGAGAGGAGCGGGTGAGGAGACAGGTGTACCAGGCTGAGAAAGGGGGAAGGCTTCCTGGAGGAGGTGTCATCCATGCTGTGCCTCGAGGGATGGGCAGAATCCAGATGTGTGGAGATTGTAGCGAGTTGGCAGGAGAGGGCGTTCTAGGCAGAAGGAACAGCGTGGGGGAAGGCATGAAGGAATGCAAGGATGGCAGGGAACTAC